TTGAATTCTGTGATGTATAAGACGTAGTGAGTAAGACGGAATTTCTCGAACTAGTAAGATATCTTTGCTGCGAAAATAATTTTTTATTGCTTGTTATGATTCATAAAAATGGTTATGTCATTTTTATCTCTTGCTATGCACTGATCTTAAGCAGTTTTCGCGCTATGCCAAAGAAAGTCAAGGTCGCATATTTATGCCTTATGTTTGTTTTAATTTTCAGATTTGCAACAGCCCATTTCATCTCATGTGGGACAAACACAATCCAGGATAGCAGAAGTCGATGCTCCGACTGAAGCAGAACCAGCAGGAGCTGCTGCAGATTCCAAATCCCCGGGCGTTTATATTCGCTTCTATTCCACAAAGATGTGCAGGATCGGGCGTCTTTTGAATACACCAGGACCTCTCAAAACCTCGGCGATTAAATTGACCCTTACAGCTCAAAGTGAAGTTGATATTGGTCGGAGGAGTCGTTTTCGCCGGTCTTCAGCATCCACAAGTTGGAATCGAATACCAGATAGCAATTCCGCACCGGCTACTGAATAGATTATCATAGATATTTACAGCGTATTCTTGTTACTATTGCCATATGCCACACTTATTTTTCTCTCTCCTTTCTTTGGACCATATTTTGTCAAAGAAGCCCACCAGATTGCCTCCATACCTCTCTCCCCCCCCTTCCTCCCTCTTATCTCCCTCTATCTAAGATCTCCCCACCCCCACCCTTTTTCCCTCTCCCCCGAAATATTTGTGTGTATTCGCTTTAAATTGTGTGCGTTTTTCTCCTTTTGAGAGCGTGTTGCTTATTATTTTAATACTACATTCTTACTTACTCTGTTATTACTATCTTGATAACGTTATTGTTCTTCATATTCATTCTTGAAAAGACTTAAGATTTCGTGAGAGCCCTGTTTTTGGTGTGTGTTTGTGTGTATATATAAAGTGAGAAATATACTGTATTTTATGGAATATTCTCGTCCTATTGGTCGCTTTTCCAAGGTTATTGTAGTGGCATTGGGGCGAGGAGAGAATGCGTTCACAGCGTTATGAAGAAAAGCGATGTTTTAATGAGGTGTCGATTTGACACCCACGCAAATGACACAACTCTATTAATCATGGCTACTTTGATCTCCCTTATCTCATTTAGTGATTTACTTATTTGTGCCGAAATAACACATAAACAGTGTGTTCATTTTGTCATTGGGGGTAGGTTAAAGCCGATAATCTCGCTTACTTATAGTTATGCAGATCAACGCATTGTATATATCCCACTAGTTGAGTCAACAGTTTAAAAATACGCCTTCGCATTTACCAATCACCCCCTGTTCTCATACCCGAGTCCCTGTTAGTAAATCCCACCGGTCAACACTTGACAAGTTGGTCTCTGAAACTGCTTTAAGAATTTCTGTTGTGTGAATTTTTGGGCCACCTTCAATAAGACCTTCGGAAACCGCCTTTCCAGTTTTCAGCGCTGTGAGGTGATTGATCCCTTTTTTTGAAGGCACTGCTAAGGTGCAATCGCTTTCAGCATCATAATGCGAATTTTGAGTTCCTCAGCGAAGGCGTCTGCTATTTTGAGGGATTCTAAGATGGTGAGATTTGGCCGAATCCGGAGACATCTTTTCGATTAGTGGCACTATCACCTTCGATTGAGCCTTCTCAAAATTTTTTTGCCATTGTTAGAGAAGAGCCAGTCAAATGAAATTTATTTATTTATTTCAAATGGCAGGCGTTTTGATAGCTATCATTAGCCATTTAGCTGACTTCGAGCTCTACAGGGGGAAGGTTCATCAAAATAGTAGAAAGTCGAGGGGTGGGGAACAGAAGATCGATTCACAGATGTAAAAGAGGCAGACAGACACAAAGGCAGAGAAAAAGGTAAGATGAGTACTGTGAAAGGGGTCGAATATGACAATCAGTCGTGCCATGGTATTTTGAAGTCAGAAGTCAACTGCCAGTTAATAGACTTTTTTGCCGTATGAGTATACGTTGCCCAGGGTTCACCACGTGGAGGTAAGTCTATCGCACACCCCAATCAAATGAAATAATAATGGTGATATTTTAAACACTTCAGATGAAAAAAACTTGTTTTAGAGGTAAGGGAATCGCGCATTATCAGCGGAATACAATCGAATCCTTTTGCATGAGTGT